CGCGCACCCGCCGCCCCCCCCCTCCCCTCCGCCGCTTTCCCAACAACGGAGGGGACAAGGCAAAGGAGGAGGAAACAAATCCCGGTGAACAAGCCCCGAGGGCTTCGGGTCACGCTGGGAAAGGCGGCGGCGAAGAGGGAAGGTGGATTTCAACCCGGCACCCCACGGGGGACAAGTGGGGACGGGGCAGGTCCTCTCCGGGCGAGGGTTAGGGGATGCTGCAGCCAACCCCCACGCCTGGGAACCGGGGTGGGCAGTGCCAGCAGTGGGTTTTGTTTGGGTTTGGACACGTTGTGCCGTCTCCTTCACCATCAAGGTGACGCACAAGCATGACACTGAAGGGTGGAGGAACTGTCCCCAGAGTTTGAGAGCTCCGTTTTAGAGCTGTCCTCCACCCATTTTAGAGCTCCTGCGTGGAGGCTCCTCGCTGCCAGCCCATTCCCACCCGCTCCCCGGCACGCTGCAGGCCCGGCTGCGTTTCTACGGCCAGGTCTGGGTACACAGAGCCACGCTTCCAGCTTTGACTGGCTGACTCTCGGCCAGGCAAACACTTTGGAGCGTGGCGGCGTGCCAGGGACAGCAAACTCACCCGTCCCCTCTTCTCCTCGGTGCACATTTTACGGGGCGTGAAGTGTCTGGTTTTGCGAGCAGCAGAGCGCAGTGGCCTTGTGCAGGGCGCTGCGGGTGGGTGTGATGTTTGCTCTCGAGGCTGATGCAGCTCTGTTTGGATTAGACCGGTTCAGGAGATCTGGGCAGGCTGCGTATTAAAAATCTTTTTTTGAATGGTTATTGCATTGCCTTTTTTGGTTTTGTGTCCTGGATAGGGACAGAACACATATGCAAATCATTTAATGGAAGGATTTTAATTTTTTTTTTTACATTTACCTTGCAGTCACATATTCAAAACAAAGCCATGCCTTTATCAAAACATAAAAGGGTCACTGTGGTGAGACACTCGGCTCCTGTCTAGTCAGAAACAGAGCAAAAGGCCTTTAAATAAACACATGGAACAGAAAACAATTAGAACAGTTTGCAGTGATTACCAGAGGTTCCCGTCTGTTCTGTTTCTGTGGCTGGCACAACCCCCTTTTTCACAGCTCTGGTTAGTCTCTCCCGCTCGCAGGCTGAACGGCAGACCAAAGCTTAGCTGAGGATGTGCTGGGCTACCCGGAAAGCATGGTGCTGGGCAGCATGAGCATGACGAGATGTCCACAAAGAAGGAATCCCAGGAACGTTTTCTTGGAAAAAGCCTAGATCCTATCTGGTTACAAAAATACAGAGTGGCTGGGGCTTTCTCCTGTGCTGGTCCCATAGGTGAGGACCTGGGAATCAAACTGGCTTCTCAAGCTTCCCTGCCTTACCTTGACCAGAAGAGTTTCTGAATTCTGCTAGAGACCCCAAATAGAGGGAAGTCAGCTTGTAATTCATTTACCCATTTCTCCCCACTTGCTCTGGGTTTTGCTGGCTGTGGAAGGTTCTTATTTTTTGATAAGATTTTAAAAAATAATTTCTTTCCCTTGGAGGTTTTATTTCTTTGCCTTTTTTAACAATTATTTTCCCTGAAGACTCTGTAGAACGTCCAGGAGCACCCCTGGGGTCCTTCTTTGCGCTTCTTCAGCATAGCTGAGGGTCTCGTCCTCCCTCCCTGCTGGGTTACAGACATTTACAGCTCGGCATTAGTTTTTCAGTTCTGCTCTTGCAGTCAGGCTCTTCCTACAGTATGAGGAGAGCGGGTGAGCTGCTCCAAGCCAAACCAGGAAAAGGTATCCAGCGGTGAGGCTTACTCTGTGCTTTATTTGCCTTTTGCCTGGTTTGATTTTTGCAGGTAGATAACAAGATTTCAATCTCTAGCCAAGTGTCTCAAACATGCCACTAATTATTAAAAAAAAAAAAAAAAGTATGCCAGTTAAAACTCAGACGTTTGGTGTTCATCCAAATCTTCATGCAGAAATACCCACACACAAGCAGAAATTATTGCAGTTAAACATTAAACTAAATGGTCAGTTCAGTTTCACAGTGTTACGAACAGCTCCGTAATCACTTCAGTGGGAACTGGGTGAGAATTAAATATTCTTTCACATGCATTTTTGCCTGGAGATCAACAGGAACGTGAAGTCCTTGACTGTCCATGAAACTAGGTACTTTTGATTACATGCGATTCACCTGCACTGGCATATAACTGGCTGCCTTTACGAAGCTGTTGTCTCAAACATTGATTACGCATCCTGAAAACATGAGGAAGTCCTTGCCAGGTCTTCACATACTTAAGAACTGCAGCAGGCTTGCTTTTGGGGGATGGTAATGAATTATTAGAGTAGGTTACCTTGGCCATGGCGATTCGACTTTCCATTTAAATGCACGATTTCAAAGGAAGCCAGTTACTGATGAATACAGCAGTATTGCTCAGTTTTCAGAAAATGTTATGCTCCCTTACCCAAAAAGACTCTTCCAAACTCTCTCTTCTTGGGTATCGAAACACTGAAACACGTGCAATTACTTGTTCTGTATGGTGGAAACGTTTCTCTCGGCTATCACCGATTAAAAATGTGTATTTAGTCTTTAATTTAAGTATGTATGTTCCTTTTATGGTCAGAAGAAAGGAAGAGAAACTGCAAAGCATAATCCATCCTTTCTTAAAACAGACCACTGTGATCTGTAGGACAAATTAACCCACAGAGGTCTCATCCTGTCCAGGACAGTTGGTGCAGCATCACCTCCACACTCATCTCCCTCCTTTGTCTTTCAGCTCCTGGAGGAGTATCGTTAATTGTCCCACAACCCAACATCAACACAACAGTGGCACAAAACATCTTGCTCTCCGTTGAATACTCTTGCAGAGGCGTCGCCACCATTGAGTGGAAGCACGTGTCAAGCTGGGGCACCACCAAAATTGTTGAGTGGAAAAGTGGGAATTATGTCAACATATCCTCGATGTACAAGGACAGAGTGACTACCTTTGAAAATGGCTCTATACAGCTTCTGAACATGGGCATGAGAGATGCTGGCTACTATTTTATCACTGTAACGGAGGAGTATGGAACCAGCACCTATGGCACCATCATAGTCAATGTTTACGGTACAAACTAGATGGGGGTTCTTGGCTTTACCCTCCATTTAAACATAAATCTGCTCATAATCATAATTTTTTTTTTCTGTCCTCCCTGCAGAGATTATCTATGAAGATTTACATTTTGTAGCAGTTCTCTTTGCATTTCTTGCTGCTGTATCTGCCATTTTGATCTGCTTCATGTGGCTGTGTAATAAATCTCTGCATCTATTTCAGAAGAAGACGCCACACAAACTAACAGGTATCTTTCTAAGAATGCAGTCAAGGCAGAGGGTTTTCAAGTCTGAATTTTGAGCCTGAAATTCACTTGTGTTTTGAGCCATAAAGGTGGTCAGGAGGGACACTGAGAAACAAGACTGGAAAGGCTCAGTTCAGCTAACCTGTTCAACTCTTTACTAGCTGAGGCAACTGAATAATAGGCATTTAGTTGCAGAACAATCCACAGGACATCTACCTTATATATTTTACATTAGAAACCACAAAACACTTCCCAACTTGCTAACTGCAAAACCTGGGGAGAAAAGGCCAGAGCTGCAATAACCCCCATCAGAGGGCACGAGTTAAAGTCAAGAGCATCAGGAAGGCTCTCAGGGTCTGCACCAGAAGGGTATCTCCTAGGGGAAAATGCTCAAATGGCCCTTGGGAGTGGCCCCCACCTCACTTCATGGAGGACTGCTCCCCTTCCTTTCCTCTCAAACCCCCCTTTCATCTGTCCTCACGTTTGATCTGGTTGTGGACTCCAATGAACACTGACTAATATCAAAACCAGACTCCTCACACGTGCCAAAGACACCAGTCATGAAAAGCAGATCAAGGGAACATTCACATATTAGAGAAGACATTCCCAAACCACAGCCAGGGATGTTCGGCCTAGGCAGCAAGACGAGGTGCCACGCTATGGGTCCGGGCTCAAGCTCTGGGCACATCCTTGGAACAGGAGCTTTCTTTTACCACTTCAAAACATTTCAGGCGTTTACCTCCCTTCTTTGTAAGTGCAGATCCACTAGTGGTTTCTTGCCCTGTAGGTAAAAGGTCTGTATTTTTTCTCTAATAAGTGCTGCTTAAGCTGTTACGTTATGACAAGCAGTCTAAGTATTGATATTTTACTAGACCAACACAGACACTCGGGAATCCTAAGCTTCACAGCTCAGACTTTGTGTCAACTCTGCAAAACCTGATATGAAAGGAGATTAATTTGGCTCGAGCTCTCTCTTCCTTTCTGCAGCTCACCTATGGCTCTAAGGGCTGCTGCTGTTTTCACGGTGCACGCACCGCTCACAAGCTTCCGTAGCTACTGAAAAGCTTCCTATCCTGCCAGAATATACACGCTTTTGTTTGGATAAAGCCTCTCCTTCCTCCAGTTAAAGCCAATCTTCCTACAGAGCCAGAGTTTTACAAAATCTGAATCAAATACACTGTTTTGGCAGACTTCAGGTAAACCACAGTTCTGGAGATTTGCTCTGTCATGTTTCAGAACATGCTCCAAAGCAGGTACCTAACTTCTGCCCCAGTTCCACCTTAGAAGATCCCTCCTTTCAAAAGCCACAAAGAGAGGTAGAAGGACGGGCCCTATGGACTTTAGTTTACATAGTGCCTTTAGTCTCATATTGGAAGAAAGCAGCGTCGCTTTAAAGATTGTGAGGGACTGTTTGTGCAGTTAAATATTTTGAAAAGATGTATTTAAAACCTAATTGTAGATGAGTAAGCTTGAGCTAATATTAAAAAGTTCAAAACGTCTCGGCTATTAACACAGCATTGTTAATTTTGGAACACTGGCCTTCCAATCCATTTGCCAATCAATAATAATATCCTTTTATTTGCAGCAAGTACAACCGAAGAGATTGAATTGGAAACCATTGAGTGTTAGCCAAGGACTGTCTCGTAACAAAAATAGCAATTCTACCTCAGGAGAAAATATTGGCAAGGGAAGCAAGAAAAAACCCAAAAGGTAAAATGTTTGTGACTACTGCGGAAACATCCTAACTTGCAAATTAATCAGACGTGAAATCAGCAGTGTCTGATGGAGCTGTTTTGACCTGTTAAGATTTTGGCTCTGCTAGCCAAGGTCAAAGTAAAAAAGAGTACGCTTTCATGCTGAGCACGAACACATTTTTGTGGCTAATTAATAAAATCTACAGTCTCTACCACTCTTAAAAGTAACCAAGCAAGCAAGCCTCCAAGATCAACCCATAAAGGAAATGATCATGGTCTCGAAGGACACCTGTATTTTGGCTACAGCAAGTCTCCTATTACAGACAGAGCAGCCATCAGCATCCTTCAACATAATAAATTTAATGTCTAATTACAGTATTACATTAAAAAATTAATTGCAAGGATTGAATCCTGTTTATTGCACCTACGCTGCTACTTTTGGGCGTAAGGAATTTCCTGAAGCTCTGAAGACATACTGTAATGCTTCATGAGACAAAACTGACTTTGAAACAATGCCGAGCTGGTCAAAGTTCCCCCACGTACATTTCCAGTTGTTTACGCTGCCCCCGGATATTAACAGACATTTTAATGACATTACAAGAGAAGGTTGTTAAACAAGGAACTACGCACAGGCACTGAAGAAGACGCTGTCCATAATGATTAGAGTGGTCAGATACAATACTGACACATCACACCAGTGGGGTGGCTAAATGCTGAACAGTTTCACTGTGAAAGATGTCGAGTCCTTTGCAAACTTAGCCCACTGATGAATAGTCTACCCGGGAAAAAGTTAAAACAGCATTACTTTGAAATCTCATATTTACAAATACAGTTCTGAAATTGCTCTTGTGGAGAAGCCACCTTTTGCTTTCCTGTGTTGTAAGGAAACGTGAAGTTGTCTAATTTTCCTGAATTGCACGTACATTTTCCACCTGCAGATCCGCGGGGTGGGGTAAGATTTCCTTTTGTGAGTGAGAAAGCACTAAACTGACTGAGCTTCAAATTAGCCTGATGTGCCTTTGTAAAGAGAAGAATTTTGCAGTGTGAAATAAACTTTGAAAAATGTAAGAGACCACGGACTAGCATGTGTCTGCAGGTTGCCACGTGGCTTTTCGAACCGAACTGCTCCTACTGCCTCTCTCGCACTTCAGCTCACTTGTTTGCAAAAAGCTTTTACAAGACAGGCTGACAGCGCTTCCCCTCTGGCCAGGGACTACGATGCTCAGATGCAGAGGTACAACGGGTTACATTTGGAAAAAACAAAGAAATTTCTCACCAAGTGCATAACGATGCAAACAGGCTTTTCCCAAAGCACCCTGCACAGAACACTTTTAAAAAGTCATCCCCGGATTGAAACAGCCATTTGTAGTACAAAAGGCCTCTCACTCACTCATAAATTTGGGTACCAGGTTCAGCTGGTTGCTCCTTCCTGCATCTAGAGGGGATCAAAAAAGGTGAGAAATTAAAAAAAAAAATAAAAATAATCCCAGCTACCGCACATCTTGGGAAAGTAACAGTTTATTCTAATTATTCACTTTAAAAGGTATTACAAGTCTTCTGTACCTCTGAGTGAATTAAGCTTTGATGACACAGAAGTTGTAAGTGCATCTATTTTAATCACCAAGCTTGAAGTACTCTGTAAAGTATCCATATGGCATACAGAAAACATTATTAAATGTTTTTTTCCTGTTTATCTATTTCAGATGCTTTTTTTAATCCCTAAATCTTAGAAGTTGAATAGTTAAGTTGCGCATTAGGCTGAGCCGAGTATGCAGTGGGTGCTCTGCCAGACTTAGAAAGGACAAAAAGCGCAGCGTACATGTGACACCGTTATTATCTGCAATGTTGCCTTGAATATTGTAATTGGAAAAGGAAAAGTCAGGAGAGGCATACAGGTGTGAATCACCTTTTGAATGCATTGCTGTAATTGTAGAGATCACTTGCACTTTTAAACTACAATATCTGAAAGTTGGGATAAAAGTAGGAAGTGACCACTTAAAATTCTTCAATTTAAGATGCACTGTAACACCATTAAGAAGTCTCCAAGCAGCACAGTTGTTCTCTCTCAGCTTAGCTAAAGATACGGCTATTGATGCTGGTACCAGCCTTGCTTTTAGGTAGTAATATCCTAGATGAAAGGGGATTCAAAGAATATTCAGTGAGGACATATGGTACAGTCAGCCTACATACTGCTTTTCTCATAGACAATTCCTCACCCACAAATTTTATCCAGAATTTAACATGCTTACTCTACACTTGTACAATATTCATATTTTCTGAAACTGGTGTTTGTCAATATGCATTATTAATGTCAATACCTGATATACAAAACACATGGCTAAGCTGTCTGTAGCAGTTTCCTACACTAGCGGTGACTGAAGTATCGAAAGCCTTGTGGCAAGCCGTTCAAGTTTAGAAATTAATAGCTATAGTTACTCCAGTTCTAAACTCCACGCAGAACAGCAGCAAATTTATTATTTAGAGCATTCAAAGTGATCAAAGGGATTAAGGCATTTTCCATTTAAATTTAATTAAAGAAATGTCCAAGTTCACAAGATTGCTTTGGCAATCAATTGTAAAGGTCTTAATCATCCATTAATGTCTTCATGCCATGTTCAAAGATGCACTACCAAGAATTTCAAGGCTGTCCTGCTGTTAGAAGCCTCTCAGTCTGTTTTCCATTAAAATTAGGAATCCCTGTGTATCCAACATTAAAAGACAGACTCTCCAGGTCCCTAACCATTCTAATTTTTTTTATTATTTGTTTTTGCAGCTAGGCCTGAGAGGCTTGACAAATGTCTTCACTGATAACAGAAGTCCTCTTGCATCCATTGTTTCTTTTCAGAAGGGGACAAATCCCGCAACTGCGAGACCCCAGTAGCTCCACAGTGATACTATCACTTGGTAATGACGATCTTATTTGATGAAAAGGCTATCGCTACATGCAGACCTGGCAATTTAAGAACAGTGAAGTGTAAGGACACATTGAAGTTTCATATGCTCATCTTCTACTTACTAGTAAAACATTCACTGTGTGGCCAGTAGCCAAAACAGCCTTGTTATAACCAGATGCGCCAACAGATGCATCAGGCTGTTGGCTGTGCTGTTCCATAAGGAACAACCCCCCTCTCTGCCTGTAATGGTCCAGCGCCTGCTAGCCCAGCACTATGGGATCTGGCCTCACGCATCTTGCGTAAGATTCTCCCATCTTTCAAAGAGATGAAGAGACTATTTTCAACTAGTGTTTTTTCATTTTCGTAAGTTGTCTTGCGTAACTCCTCAGAAGCTGAAAGGAAAAACCCTTTCTCTCTCACAGTTCAGCTGCACAGAAGCAAGTACTTCAAGGGACTGAAATAACAAGATGTTCCACACTGGCAAATGCCAACAGAAGTACAATAGCTGCTTTGGATACATGCTGAGCAGCAGCTTGCCACAAGCAGTTGCTTAGCATGCGTTTCCTACAACTATTCTTTATTGCTCAAGAATACAGCAAAATAACAACTGTCACCATACAAGTATGATGTTCAATTCAAACATGTTCTATGTGCAAGAAGTTCTCATATATATACACACACCCCCCTTGTAACACACAATATGAACGTAAGTCTGAACCAGTTCATACAGACAGCTTTAAAAAAGACCTTAATTAATAATCAAACAAAAGAAAAGCTTTGCGCAACACCTTACTAGAAGCTTCAAGAAGGCTACAATTACAACCCAAAAAGACAAAAACATGACTTTTTTTTATTTTAAAAGAACTCAGAAGAGCTAATCTTCAGAGGGATATTATCGCTTCCCTGGATGATAATGAGTGCCAGTGCAGGGAGGGGCAGGGGGAAGAACAGCACAAGTGTGGAGATCCAAGGTCTACTGCGTGAGAGTTACCTGCTTCTACTCAGACATGAATTCACCCAAGTCACCCACAAACTCAAATTATCAGGAGAATTTTGCAAGCGGAGTAAGACCCCTTCCTCTACATGCTTGCGAAAAAACAAGGACAGAAAACACAAGCAAAGTAACTGATACCACACAGGTTCATTTGTAGCCATCAGAGAGGAAAGACATTTGCCACAAGCTGTGACTTCGTAACACTTTCAACTTAAACCAGTCACCAAGTAAATATATCTCTCAAAAAGAAATGGGTCACCCAAAAGCTGTATCAATGTACAAACAAATGCCAACTCAAGAGCATCACCCAGTGAAGACTGTTCCTTGAATCTTAAGTTTTGTTTAGCCTTAATTCTTGACAAGGGAGCTCCGCTTTTCCCGTTTTCCCACTTCTAATCAAACAAGTCCATCATCTTCCACAAGGACAGCCATTCCCTGCGGTATGAGCCACTAAAAGGCTTATCGATAACACAATTGAATTCCAGTAATTTTCTTCTTTCAGAAACATTTGCGAAGATCTGTTGAGAAAAGGTAGGGGTACGGGGTGGGGAAAGGGAATGACTGAGCAGACATCTTACATGCAGAAAGGACTACTAAATTTAATCTTATCGGAGAAAAATACATTAATTACTCAGCTACATTACTCTAGATAGAGCAATCTGCAAAGATACAGCTGAAAGGAACTTTTTCAAAATTTGTATTTTATGTAATTGAAAAAAGTTTTACTACAAACACTACAATGGACATATCTGTACAGGAAAGAAATTTGGTTTTCCTTTCTTGTGTTGCTCCATAGGTTCCATTCCCCTTTGCTGCATGGGCGGTGATCGTTCGCAGCACAGTGATGATTCAAGGCCCCCACAAGAGGCTGACGATTATTAGCATGGAGTTAGGGCGGCCATGAGGAGTTCCATTTTATACACAAAGTTACGCCCTTCCATTTTATTCCACTGAACTTCCTTGAACGGCCCTCGAAGATGATTCCACTTGCTGTCCTGCAGTACATCGCCTTTGGGGAGATCCTTGCACTGACTCCGTGGAAACTGA